GAAGTTCCATGTTGTTTCTGACTGACTGACTGACTACTCAGTGCGAGAAACGAAACTCCGAACGTAGACGATTTGATCTCGGTTTTCGAACTTCAAACGGCTTCGATATCTTTTTATCTATTCCATGAACTAACCAAAAGCACAGTCTACTAACTCCAGTAGACTCATACATGCTACTTAATGCAAAATATACTTGAATTAGATGTTCGTCATTGATATTCTACTCTGTCAACTAAAGTCTATCTGTTTATAAGGAAAATAGCGGACAAATTATGCCAGTTTTTATTTTGTTTGCAGAAAAGTTTGGCATCTACGTAGTGTACAATAGTATAACTGGGAAAGCAACTATTCAAGGACTACCGTACGTCAACCTAATCGCCTTAGAGATTTCGCATGTGTCTTTTATCTAAGCCATTACCAGTAAATCTAGGTCTCATTCCAAAATAGGATTTTTAGTATACACACCTGTCGTACAAGTGTTTAATGAACAGTGGTAAATGCTTTCCTCTAAGTTCAGATTTTCCTATAACCCTTGGCTACAAAGAGACAACTGTTAGTCGTGGTCTCTAATTACTGGCTCGCTTTGACTTCTAAGTCATTGTAAGAAGAACTAATTAAGCATTTTCACCTGTTCGCTGCTCCTGGTGACAAACGTACCTGTATTCACAATGTCTCACATCAATTTACTAAATTTCCTAGATAGATTTTCAAGATATTCTTATCTCTATCCTTTCCTACTTCTCACTATCCAAGTCATCAGTTCCTTTTTTAATCAATTTGCAAATAATACGAAAAATTTGTTTATCATTTCTTCGTACATTCTGCTTCGATGTCAGGTAAGGCAAGTGCAGATAAACTTACGGTTGAAACACCATCAAACTAACAAGTGTTATTTACCAAATTGAAATCAGACTTCCTCAGCGTATCAATATAAAACAACTCGTTTTTCATAATCAGAGCAAGTGGCTAGATGAATTTTGACAAGGTTGTTACTCAAAGGGTCAGTTTTCAATCACTAATTATGTATGTAAAGTAGATACTTGTAATTTAATGGGAGGCATACATAGAACAAAGATACCTCTGCAATCTTTTTCGTGGTTAGACGTAAGAGGAAAAGTTAGCAAGTCATTCACATGTAACGTAGAGCCTGGGACATATACATCAGTTCAAGTTGTATCATATTAGCGTAGCGAGATAACACGATCAAGACAAATCCCAGAGTTATTAGCATTAAAAAAGCCTAGTTATAGAAAGGCGAAAATGTATAAGGAGATTTTGTGGCTTAAGATTTAAGGGAGGACAAAGATTGAATGTACCTACTACATTTTGACCAGTTCTGAATCGTCGCTCGACGTTGCCAACCATTGAGTACGATAATTGCACAAATCCAAACCAGGTGGTTTGAACGCACCTACATGGTTCAGTCTAACAGTCACAGGATTCTTGAACTAATACTATGTTTTATTTTGGCCGACTCTAGCTTCTTGCAAGCTACTTCACATCGAACAACACTGTCCTTCATGATATGCGGCGGTTAGGCATAGTACATATTTCAACTATCTCAGTTAGTGAAGACTCACAACTTTATCGACAGGTTTTCTATCCTCGTCTCGTGTTCTATGCTTAACCTCATTGCTGCTTACTCGGTGGCCAAAAAATACACCACAAGTGCCCCAAAGACACTAGCGATCAGGTGTTAATAAACTGCGGATGTCTTCTGTTTTCAAGGGTACGTTTTTTTTTCACACCCATACAGTAGGATGGACCAAACAGCCGCTTAGTATACCCGTTCTTTTTCTAACAGACGAACATCTCTTCTACACTACAAGTGACGCAAGTTGACAAAAATAAAGCGAAGTTTTGTCACACACCAATCTATTGGGGCTAATGTGACCTCCAAGATATGTGAAGTCAATCAGCCAGCTACAACGTAGGACCAGGCACATATGTGCATCGGTTCAAGTTGTCATACCTCGTTAGCACAACAAGATAAACACCAAATCCATAAAAACAGTTAATTCAGTGGTGGTAATATATAGAAGAAAGATTGCATATAAGGACATAGTACAGGAATAAATAATTAGTTGGTAGAAAGAAAGATATGAAGCGATTTTAATCTCATAGTTTAAGGGAAGACAGAGAGTGTATACACCGACGCCATTGTGATCGATTCTGAGCCATGTCACCAGTTTCCAGATTCTAGCTAATACCTCAGTCAATTTAATTCATAAAACTAAACCACTATCCCTCAAGATCTTCAGGGCTAATTTATTAGGCCCCACTGCTCTCCATCCCTTTAGATTAGCTATTTTTTTTTAACCTTGCTAAATGTAGGGAGATTACTTCAACCTCCCGTTTTAATTGTTTTTGAATAGTGGGTACCTCAAGAGGGGCTGAGATCAGTTGAACTGTCACCTAGTGTTCTTACTATCATTCTAACCTCCTAGCTTAAGATTGAATAATTGTTCAGCTTTTTTACGAAATAGAATCAATAACAGCTGAATTTTTAATAACAGTTTCCTCAGTATGTAAGTACCACTAACAAATTAAATGGCTACAAGGCCACTAAATAAAAAAGACTCAAGAATGATGCGTCATGTGGTAACTCAACTTTGTAATGTTAGTTTAGGATGAAATTATTTTGTTATGGACTAAAATTTAGAAACATTATTTGTGCAATTCTTCACATTAGTGCACACTGCTTTGTTTATGTACAAGCATGATCAAGTGGCCGTAGTACTTTATTGATAGGATTAAAAAAACGACCTAGCTTGCTTCACGTATATAACAGTGGTCTAAGAAGTAATGTGCTTGCAGTCACCAAGCTTTCTATATGAAAACCTATTCTGATTAGTTAACAAAGTTTATATTAGTAGTACAACCAGTTTCTGTGAGAAAATTGAACAGAGAAAACCCAGTGTAGATTTATTACAGAATCAGATTAGGCAGTTTTGCAGTAAAGTCATTAGACAGATTGATGCTAACCACATACAGGAAAAACAAGAAACTAGCGAAATCAAATCGTTAGTCAAGTATAAGTTTATTTTTTGAAATTAGAGCTACATCAGTTGTCTGAAATACTGCCTGGTTGACCGAATCAAAATGAATCAAAGTTCAGACTTGCAGCATAATAATTTAGAGTTGTATCTTTAAACCACTGGACTACTACTCCCACTGACAATTCCGATAAAGTTTGTTCGTCACATTTTCTCACTCCAATAATCGCTCGAATTTCTTAGACATGTATATAGCGGACCAGACTTAGAATACTGCATGGATCAGTTGATGAGTTTGAGAATAATCAACCGAGGTGAGGGCAGAAAACTAAAACTCGGCATCAGCCCATGAAGCAATTTACTGCTGGTCTGGACCATGTTGGTAGATATTTTCTGTGTGATTATAGTGACCAATATTTGTAGACGTTTGACGTGGTCCAAAACCTATCTTAATGACGAAGATACATTCATTCTTTGCCGTTGGAGTGGTGGCTTAGTGGTTAAAGAATACGACTCCCAGCCACTTGTTTCCAGGTTCGAACCCCTCCCCACCTACTTGGGTTTGTGAAACCGAGTAGTATCATTACCCCTCACACTTGAGGCGTGGTTCATACCCAAGTACTTGATAAACGACCTAAATTTTTGAATTTGCTCCTATATTCTGGTTTTCATAATTATCTTATGCTTAACTCCTCGAATTCATTCCCTTCAAATCCCATTCCCTCCCATCTTTTCTAATTACTTTTGATTATTTCTGTTATTCCGACATTCGTTTTGGTAATTTCATTTTGCTTTGCTGATGTAATGTGGTAAAATTGACTGATGTACGTTTGTGTCAGGTTCGTACATCGCCTATTTCTGGCTGGTATTTGATGTTAAAACGATCGTTGTTTTTTTCTTTACTCCAAGCGATAGATTTTAACAGTATGACCATAAATGTTAGATAATTGAAGATTGGTGTAGGTGTTACCAAAATATGTACCCAACATGTCTAGGTGCACCCGTTTTTCGCTCAAATAAATGAAGATATAGCATACTGAGAAACAAGTTATCTTTGATTGCAAATCAAATCTAAATCAGTGATAGCGTGATTACTTGAACTCATTATTACTAAAAAAGGTAATCACTGCACAAGTTACTGACTGTCATATCCAACAAAACATTAGCCGATTATATAATGTTTAAAATTATTAGTATTACCAGGCAATAGATTAGAGGTGTGAAAAGTCGTTAATTAATGCTGGAGCGGGTGTAAAGAATCAATTTAAACCTCAGCTGTTTTAGTGCCATTTGTGACTGATGTGTTATTTTATGTAGTTAATTGGCCACTAGTCTTACCTATTTCACATTGAAATGCCTCGTTTTATTTTTGTATAACCAACTTGAATGCTAGAGGTGGTTAAGTATAATAAAAAGTCGGTTTTTCCTGGTTGCTTTTCTTTTTCCATGCCTTTGTTTAAGTGATGACTTAGTGGTTAGACCACCGTTATATACTAAACTCGAACTCAAACTAATACAGTATTGAAAACCGAATAGCGTCTTTAGACCTTTTACTTAAAATATAGTAGTATCTTAGTGATCAAAGTGTTCGACTTTCGGCCAGATTCGAACATCACTCCATTTACTTTGGTTTGGACAACTGGCTAGTAGTATTATCATCCCTCACTTAGATTATGATTCACACCCACTTACCTGGTGAATGAGTTTATCATAGTTTATTCATGAATCTGTAATTGTCGAATGGGTTGCATTCTTCGTGAATTTAATTGCAAAACTTCACTATTGTAGTAACTTGTGAATTGAATATAGTTATAACATTCATCTCAGTAATTATTTATATGCGTGTTTTCGTGTACAATTCACTCATTTGATTGCTTCGCAAACGTAATAACGTATTTTAAGTGGTTTATTTCTATGTGTTTTTCATATTCTAACCTACAGCCTCGATAAGCGCTAGATAAAGAATATTCAGTTTCTGTTTTCTAGTATCTTTACTTTTTTCAGATTCCCACCCACAAGTAAAAAAACGTAATGAGCTTACCTCATTTTCCGAAAATGAAACTGAATGCCCAGTTTGTTTGATGCCTATAGAAGATCCACTGCGACTCAGTTCATGCGGTCACTTCGCTTGTTCAGTTTGTTGGAGGAATTTCATCTCGAGTCAAATAGAAAACTTTGCACTGGCTCATCTCACATGTATAGCGTGCTCAGAACTATTGCAGCCATCAACTGTGATTCACCTTTTGTCTGCTGTTTCGACTCGTCATGAGTCTTCACAAAGTCCCGTAAAAGATAATCAGTATGATCGCAGTTTATCTCGATATGAAGAATTTTTACTTCAACAAGCAATGTCCCGTGAACCAGAAGCGAGATGGTGCCCAAGAGGTTGTGGGTAAGTGCTACAATTTTTTACTGTTGAATCCAGCTATATTCTCCATAGAAACGATGTCTTTTCATCTCCTCATTTCTAAAATTTACAATTCTGCATGAACACGTAAATATTAGCATAGTATGACATTCTCATTTTGAAACTATGGGTATTGTGTGTAGTAGACTATGCACATTACTTGTACCGTCGTTTCTTTTTTAATGGGAAAACTCATTAAAAGTCATTTTTTACATACTAATTGGTCGTTGATCAGAAGTTAAAGCTGTACTCGTTCATTGCTACCTTACTCAACGGTTTGCACTCTACTTTCTTATTATGTTTGGATTTAGTCACTACTTCAGTTCAAATGCCCAAGTAGTATATCTAGTTCATCAAATATGTAGCTCAGAGCATGGTTGATATGTCTCCAGTTAGTTAGTCTCATACATCAAGCTATCTATCACGGAAATAATTCTTTGTGACCAAAGGGAATCCAGTTCCCGGATTTAGTTCCCTCTATTTTAGGATGTGTTTAATGTTCATGTAACCACGACTTATTAACTTTAAAGATACAATTTCATCTCACATTAGCGAAGAAAACATCTCGAATATAATCCATCTAGGGATAGATGATTGTTTTTGGAATCAGAAACTTAACTGGTTGAAAACATTTAGAAAAAAGACAGTTTACATCTCATGAACTAGTATATTATTCAAAAATTAAGTCTGACAGTATCTTCCAATCGTTTATGTTTCAATGGACTTCTAATCATGTTTACTTTCATGTTAACTATTTTTTATATAAGCATATTACTTTTGCAGATAGAAAGCCTATTCCGGCTAGTGATTTTATCTTTGCTATCAAATCATTCGGAAGTTGGTGTCAATAATTCGGCATCGTAATCATTTATCAGTCGATTGATTTATGATCCTTATTTATACATTAAAAAACACGAAATTCAGCGAAGGGATCGATTTTTAAATTATTATTAATCAGTATAATCGTATATATATATATATATATATATACGATCATATATGAAATTTTAAGGTCTAAATCATTGAGGAAATATGAATAATTAATAAATGTGATTGTGTAACAGAAAGGATTTATTACTAGATTATGTAGTGTAAACAATAACAATGAAAGGTTGCAGATCTTCTACAGTATTTGTGCAGCATTTAAAATCAATAAGTTAACATAGGATTGTAGCGAGAATGGAATAAAATTGGTAAAATGTCTTCGTCACAACAATTAATGGTATTTATCTCACCCACATTGTCACTGAGTCTGTTATTGCTTGATCAGAACTCTGTTCATTCATTTTAATAGTCTTTAATTCACGAATCGTTCATCGAGTCGTAACGTAAATAACACAGACTAAAATATCCATTACCAACAGAAACAATGTGGAACATTTACTTATATATCCAAATTGCAGCACATCGTACCATTCAGAGAAAAACGAATGGGACAAAAGTAGTGACAACACTAGTGAGGATATGGGAGACAATATACAGTGTTTGAAATAATAATTCTTTCGATAACATCAAAAATGAAAATGAATACGAATCATTATAACTATATCTTATTAGTGAGACATATAACTAGCCATTCATTTCTTACTAACTTCCACCACTAACCATAGAGTCTGTGTTTTTGTACATGGTTTCAATCAACATACAACATTTCTTTCCTAACCACGTTAACCCCTCAATCCTACCCTCTCTCCAGTTTACATAACGCTTCGACGTAGTCGATAATTCGCTGTATGTATTACATTCTAATCACCTCAATAAAATGTTCACAACTTCTCTAACAGAGTTACCTTCTTTTAGTTGGTAATAGGTGTCCAATTCTAACATTGTACAATCTGTGATTTCACCACACATGATTGAGTTAAAAGTCATTAAGGACCAAATATTTGTTACCGTCTGCTCTCAACAATAATATTTCACATCCAATTGATAGAAAAGGAGCTCACAATCCTAGTCATTAGTATCATAGTGCATAAATAAATCCCCAAAGGATAAAACTCACACGAAAACATTAAAAGACAAAGACAAACATCTGAAAAATCAAAAAGCTTTTACTTTTACAGTAATTTAATTAATGAATCAGATGGTCTATTTATGTATACAATTTATCACTATATTTAATATTATCCTCATACAGTATAAAATAACCTCTCAAAATATGTATTATCCGATCCTTGAAGAGCCAATTTACTTTCTGAACTTACTCTAACTTGATTGGCTCCATCATTTATTTAATGTGTCAGACAAACATCTGTAACTGATAGATGTGGAATTATCTCCAAAAGGTTTATTGTTTTATAGTTTCAATTAGACATCTGTCTACCTAATTCGTATACTCGGCTCAGGACAGTTGTATATACATATTTAAGGGTCCATATTATGTCATATAACAGGCTTTGGAAAAGCTGTGAGTAAAAAGAATATTTTGTAGTTGTAGAAGTAGTAGGTATTTGAAGTGGTTCCATTTTATGCTTAATTAGTTCTTCATACACCTGATATTTTATCATTTCAGTTATGGATTGATAGCACACTCCTTCCACGCCTGTCCGCAAATTGTCTGTCTTCATCCAATGTGCGAAGGACGTTCGTTTTGTTTTAAATGTAGAAGACCTTGGTCCACTGATACAACAAATGAAAGCTCGTCAGATCAAAATAATGTTATACATATTTGTCCGGCTGAACAAGATATGCGTAGTAATGCATTAGATGGACTGCGCTCTTTCTTTGGTATTCGGCGTTTTAGCAGGCAAATATCTGGTCAAAATTCAATAACAAACGGCCCTCCACCAAAAGTTCCTGATAATATTTTACCAATACATTTAAATACCTCGACTTCTATGAAGGAAAAACGTTCCCGTGTACTGAGATCTTATCCCAGTTCTGTCAACTACTCCAATGATACTCGATTATCTATGGAAGAACTGTTTACAAACGTAGATTTTGAGAGTGCCAATATTACTGCTCCTGTTTCAAAGAAAAAGTAACTACCTTTTTAATTATGAATATCCATTTGAAAATTCATGCTCATTCGTTTTTATATCTAACTGCCTTTATTCTAATTTATGAATACATATGGTAGCAAAAACATTTAATTAGGCAAATTGTTTATTATCATAATTTCTATCCTCACGAGTGGTTTTATCATTTCTTCTTTAGACGTCCGATCTCTGAATCTGATGTGGCTAACTCTTCTGAACTATCTCCCAAAGTAAAAAGACATCCTTCCGTAGATTCTAATGGTCAAAGTGAGTTTATTCAATATTGTACATTTAATACAATTTGGGACTCTCAGCATACAATGTTTTAACAAGTTTCTCTCAATCTTCGTAGACGTTACACATATATATAAAACAGGTAGACAAAATTACATTACAATGAAATCTTTATAAGAAAATAAGGACCTTCACAACGTTGAATAAACTGCGAATTCTAGAGTTATTATTTTTTTTTCAACACATAAATGCTGGTACAAGGGGCACCAAATATAAATGCTCCACACAAAACAATGGGAATGGGAAGAGAAAAAAAAGGTAAGGAGCGTAAAAGAAAAAAAAAGAACAATAACGACCAGATTAGTGTAAGGTAGTGTAATAATAGTAGTAGTAATAATAATAATGGAGGAAACGGAAAGGTACAACCAGAAGAAATCTTTCAGTTAAGGAAGATACAACTACTTTTTATGAAAAAAGTAAAAGAAGGTTACAGCAGGATCGCCACTGACTTCTATTCTGAGCCATATCTGATAACGTCTCTAGCCACTGTGTCGCACCATCTTTCGAACCACAACCGGGGAGTCGTGAAGGACCAACAGAAGCCAGCCCTTTGCAGCTTTCTTTCATACCCCGACACCATGTCATACACTGACCACCTCCCTACTTTTTCCAACCAGTCCCAGTGTCGGCAAATAATGTACGACGTGGAATTCTCTGGGATGACATTCGTAGAGCATGTCCAAGCCACCGAAGTCGATGTTTCAAGATAGTGAATTATCGTCTCTGTGTCCGAACACACAATGCCGAACCTCTGCATTACTGACATGCTGTTGCCACTGGATGTCAGCAATCCTTCGGAGACAACGATGATCAAACACAGAGAGTCGTCTAACATCCTCAACTCGGAGAGGTCAGGTTTCACAAGCATAGAGCAAAACTGCTCTCACCGACGCGTTGTAGATCCAACCTTTTACAACCAGACTAACATCACGAGGGAGCCAAAGGTGGCCCAGATTGGCATAAGCCGCTCTGGCTTTCACTATAAGTGCATTGATCTCATCACTCACGCTATCACCAACACGTATGCAGCTACCTAGATACACGAACTTCTCGACAGGTTGTGGTCTGTGCACAGTTGCAGTAGACGGTCCTCGTTATCTGTCCTGCGACCAACAAGTCCCCATCGGCCACCTAAACGGCTCTCTTCTGTGCCTAGACGCTCGACCTGAGCATTCAAGTCTCCGGCTAGTACTACAATATCTGTCGAACGCACTTTCTGGAGAAGAACAGTTAACTGGTGTTAGAATTCATCCTTGATTGCATCTGGGCTGCAATCTGTCGGGGCATAGGCGGAGATGACGAAAAGACATCGTTTTTCACGCCGACTGTTAACGGGGATCTAATCGATTAGTGCTGCCTCAGCTCTAGCGCTTAGCGCGACACCAACGCCAGCATGACCAGATGAAGATGTCACAGGGTCCGCGGATAAACCCACGTAAAACAAGCTTTTTGAAGTGACAGATGGAGAGCGAATTTGTAGTACTTCACCAGAGTCTTGAATATGGGTCTCGGATAGAAAACAAACGTCGATATTAAGACTTTCCAAAGACATGGCCAGCCCTATCTGTTGTCCGACCTGCATAAATGTGCGAACGTTGAAGGCAGCCAGTTTGAATGGCGCACGTGGTCTTAGAAAAACTGCCTCAGTATTCGTATTTGGTGGTAGCATACAATTTTCAACCAGGTAGTGACTCGAGAACGTTTAAATAGAATCGAGTTTCCACAATGGGCGAGCTGCTGTATAGGTCGAAAAATAGGGATACATGAAGTGGGAGTAAAAGAGAGTGAATAAATGACGTAGTTAATAATAATAATAGTCATAATAATAATGATATGAATGGTTTGACTGTAAATCGAAGCGAGAATAGTTTTCAGTAAATATAATCATTTTCATTCTGTTTGTGTGTGGGCTGTGATACTGCCCGGGTGCCCAAACCGAAGCAGGTGGTTTTCTTAGAGGGCCACACCCCGAGCCTTCGACCTGAAGATCTGAGCCACAAGGCAGTGGAGCATCGTAAGGAGATGCAGTCCCATAGCAGCCGGTGACCAATGATTGGTTCATACGCCATTTGTTCCTTCAGGATACTTGAGCCCATGTGCACCATTGGTTTGGGATCCGGTTAAAGCACCGGACATTCGCTTTTCGTCCTCTCAATTTCGTAAACAACAGTAATGCCATGAGGAGGCAGTGAGTAGGACTTCCCTGGCGGAGGCTATATACGCGTGGCCGTGTGAGAGGATTTCGAGAGGGAGAGCGAACTCTCCCCACTCTCCGCCATACCAGGGCATTTGGGAGCAAAATTCTAGAGTATAAGTTTTTGGTTAGGCTAGCCCTCACAACGTATTAGTTGCATAGTATATATGCTAGATACGTTATTTTACAGAGCCTATTCACTTTGTACCTGCATAATCTCTTATATATCTACATCTTGTTCTGACAAAAGATATACAGTTGGTGAGATGTGATTAGAATGAGTGATTTGTATTTAATTTTGCTGTGGGATTTACAGTTAAATATACAAAATAATCACAAAATGCACCTGAACGTTTTATAATTTCTTAAATTTCCCAAATTGTAAACTGTCTATTTCCAAAGTTAAGTAACTATGCTTTTATTTTATTAATTATTCTGCTAATTAAGAGGCTGATGAATTGAGTCACTAATCATATGTAAGAATTAGTGATATAATGCACTAACTCCCGGCTAATTTATAATTTTGTTACTGTTCATTTCGACTGTTTTTCTTTCAAACTATGAAATGTACGTCTGTAAAATACATTCCTCTCGACACATAACCAAATAAATGTTCCATAAAAAATTCTTCTCACAAGTGCACATGATGATATTGTTTTAATGAATTAAATATTGAGTTAATAGTGCTATACGACATTAATCTCGCAAACGAAGTACAGGTTCGTACTCATATGAGGACTTGAAAGATAAATATTGTCACATACTTACAGCTTACAAATGTCTTTCAAGTTAAACTATTACAAGTCATTGTGACTAAGAGAGAATTTGCTCAAAGACTATGAAGATATGAATAAGTGAAATTTGTGATTTCTTAGGTGAGTATATTTCAGGAGCAATGAATTTAAGAGATAGTAAAAGTTTGTAAATACATAAAGTAGAAAAGAAGGAATAAAAATACATAAAAAAATTAGTCACTGTATGCAAATCATGAAAAAATGATTGGTTCCAATAAAGCTATAAATAACACTTGATTCATCATATCATTTTCAGACAAAAAACTAAACCTGTAACATTCACAGTAAAAAATCGAACAAAAAATATTCGTTGACTTGTAGATAACCAGTCAATTTAATCGAATCACTAAACAGCTGATTTTAATTTTGATCATCGTGACCCATATAACCTTTTTTATCAGTGCATCTAAAACAGACATACAGAGAGGAAAAAGATATAGAAGATAGATAGATGCGCGAGTTTCAATTAAAGGCAATTGATTATACCAAATATTATCTGGGTTTTCTTTACTAATTAATGTTTTAGAGTGTGCTTTTTTTTACCGAATGTTATCCTTCCCTAACTAATTGCATTCCAATCAACCAAATCAGTTTGGTATACGGAGCTTCATAAACATTTTATATGTTATACCATTTTTCAATGAGAATTTGTGTTCCGTAAAGCTTTACTGTCCTTCATTATTTTAGTCAATATAGCTTAGCTGATCAGTTTGTCAATTGTTATTTGACGTCAGCAACTCATTTCATTTAAAGTAGGCGTGGATTTCATATATATATATATATATATATATATATATATATATATATATATATATATATATATATATATATATATATATATATATGTAATGTGGCTTTAAAAACTACAGGGTAGTGTATGCTTGTTTGTATACATGTATTTACTACCAATCAATAGTAAAATAAAGTAGAACCTGGGTCAATAGTATGTTTACTCAGATTGCCTCACTTCATAACAATTTTACTCAATCGTGCAATCGCTGTACCTAAATTCAGCTTTCTCTTTTACCCATATAATGGACAATATTCGATTTTGCCAACTTAATAATAAAGCTAGCTTGATACCGTTTTGGTGTTATGCATTCCATTGTCTCTTTTCAACCCTTTATACACCCATTTTATTGTTAACCGTTTAATAGACATCTTAAGCTACTAGATGTAAACGTGCATATTTCACATATATTGATCAGCCACTTAAGGTTAAATGAATCTTATAAAAACTGATAGGACGGTAAATATATCATATCCTGATAATCCTGTTTCAATTTTATTATTTAAATTACAGTGTCATTTACCACTGGAATAATTTCAACTATAATAAGTAATATAAATAATGTGTCAAGAACGGTTGTCTTCTTACAACTAACTCAGATTCTTTTTTTGGATAATTTTAGAATATCTTAAAAATAAGTAGGTATTTGAATAAATTTGATGGATAACAGATTATTTTGAGGAAATAACCTAAAATAACATAGTTCATGACTTTCTTCTATGTTAAAGCTTTCATGCACTAAAACAAACTAAAAAATATAGTGACTAACTTAATCATTAGTGATTAATTACAAACGCCTTGAAAAGTAGAAATCCATAATCTGCAAATATTTTTCCAATGAATCCAATAAATTGTCTATAAAAAATTTTGGTTATTCAGATATATTTGTGCTTCCGTTGAGGTTTGAAGACATATGTACTAGTGTACTTCGTCGATCGATAGAAGTTATTGTTCATTGTACAATAAGACAGAACCCTTTTTTCTCATAATTCAAATCACAGTAACATAAGCGAACCGATAGTTGTCAACTAACTCACATACTCATACCTATTACCCCTGGTGGAGGAGCATAGGCCGCTCACCAGCATTCTCCATAGAACCCCGTCCTGGACAATCCTTCACAGTTGTCTCCAGTTGCTATTCATCCTTTTCATATCTATTTCCAATTCCCGACGTAGTGTGTTCTTCGGCCTTC